TTTTGATAAGCAAGTTACTTAAAAACTAAATAAAGATAATTCAGGATAGATCTAAACCACTACCATGAAGAATCTTCAGCACATGGCTGAGATTTGTTGTGCCATAAAACACAGTCTGCTCTACGTGATCATGAAATGTTAAGAAAATCAGCGCTGCCGGGCGCGGTGGCTCACGCCTGTAATCCCAGCACTTTGGGAGGCCGAGGCGGGTGGATCACGAGGTCAACAGATCGAGACCATCCTGGTCAACACGGTGAAACCCCGTCTCTACTAAAACTACAAAAAATTAGCTGGGCATGGTGGTGCGTGCCTGTAATCCCAGCTACTCAGGAGGCTGAGGCAGGAGAATTGCCTGAACCCAGGAGGCGGAGGTTGTGGTGAGCCGAGATCGCGCCATTGCACTCCAGCCTGGGTAATAAGAGCAAAACTCCGTCTCCAAAAAAAAAAAAAAAAAAAAAAAAAAAAAGAAAATCAGCACTATGTTAAAGCTAAAGAATTAACATTGTACTTAGCATCTGAAAGATAATTACTGCAGGGAATGAACTACATCCACAGGGTCTGAGATTTTTTAATTTCCTATACAATCTTAAATTACACATCAACTTGAAGGGCTGAACTCAAGATTCTAAGCCAGCTTTTCCTACACAAAAAACAAACAACAAACAAAAACAGCATCCTAAAATGACCATTTAGAGTGTCTAAGTTTCTATTTTCTCCCAAAAGTGGTACTCAACTACACTAATTCATTGGTATCCTCCTACCTGATATCCCTACTCACTAACGGCGGGACTATCTAAGGCTTCTTGAAGGCCATTGGTTCAGTCAAGGAATAAAGCAAAAGTAAATGCGTCCACAGTAACTTTAAACCTCAACTTAGTGAGGATGGATGTTCAACAGACCATTTCCATGTGACAGTATCATTGGTAGGGGAATTGGCTAGGATATAAAGAAGGATCTAGAGTCTTCAACAACGACCAAAAAATATATAAGACATACTATTTACCACAGATGGACTCTCATGGAAAAGGAGGGAGAAGAGAAAGAAAAAGAGATGTATATCAAATGCCTTGAAAGTAACTCATTTGGAAAGCTCTTTTTGAGCTGGACAACAAGTGGGATCTCAGAACGAGGAGATGGCAAGTAAAGAATTAGGCCTTGGAAAAACTGAGATCAACAGAAAGAGTGACGATTTTAAAAAACTCCTATGACTTAGTGAAAAAGACAAAAAGAAATACAAAAGAAAACACATACTTAGGCTGAGTGCAGTGGCTCATGCCTATAATCCCAGTACTTTGGGAGGCTGAGGCGGAAGGATTGCTTGAGGCCAGGAATTCAAGACCAGCCTGGGCAACATGGCAAGACTTCACCTCTACAAAAAAATCTAAAAATTAGCCAGGAATGGTGGCACTTGTAGTCCTAGCTACTTGGGAGGCTGAAGCAGGAAGATCACTTGAGCCCAGGAGTTTGAGGCCACAGTGAGCTATGATGGCACCACTGCCCTCCAGCCTGGGTGACAGAGCAAGTCTCTGCCAAAAAACAAAACATTTACTCTCTCAGAAAGATACCCCTAGTCTGAAACAGCGTAATGTTCACTACCCAGAACTATTTCATGAAAATCAACCTTAAGTCTAGGTAAATCCTCCTGTGTCATGCTTCTTTCGGGAAGCCACCAGACTTTCTCCTTTTGATAGTTACGATGCAGCACAGTACTTCCTATAAAGCTGCATAAGGTCATATAAATTTGCGTTCTCTTTTTCTTCTGAAACCTCCTTAAATTTAAAATACCACACAAAATTCCCAAGATTAAAGACTCTGACAATATACAATACCATGAGATCATCTTAGGCTGCATTTAAAAGATAATTTTTTCCTTTGAATGGGCATTTTAGTTATTACCTTCTTAAGTTAGCTCAGAGGTTCATCTAGGTGAACTACCAGAAATCAGCATCATCATCCTGAGTAAGCTGGAAGAAACCAGTTAAATGTGGCAGTTCTCATCCTGAAACGAACTATCTCTAAGTCAGGGTATTGAGTTTCTATTGATTGTATTGTCGTAGCATTCAGCTTAAACAGAACACCTCATGATGGCATTTATGAACACTCACAGATGTCTCTTCTAACATTATGAGCCAGTGGCCTTCAACAATTTGGTACCACTTCTCTTGAACCACTTTCCCGGGCAAAATATCCAGTGACTCTGGCCAACCCAGGGCCAGAGCAATCACTCTTCTCTGCTACACCTTTCAGGTAAAGAAGTAATGAAACCACTTAAGTGGTTAAGTGGTTGTCTAAATACAACTACAAATCTCTGTATAGTACTATGCACTTACAAAGCCACTAACAGCCATGTTATTTCTTTTAAACACTTTCTACAGGAGGCAAGGTGGACATGAGCATTATCCCCATTGACCAAGGACTAACCCCAGGCTTTTAAGAGTGAAGTGGCCTAAGGTCACACATCTTTTAGTAAAAGAACAAAATCTTGAATTTTCTCCAAATGAATGCCTCTTTCCCTAATATCCTATTAGACAACAGAGTTTGTACTAGGATTTGGGGTTTCAGGGAGTTAATGCAAGGAAGAACTGCTCAAGAAGAATCAACATAATTGTAACTTGGATACTGGCTGCATCTTTGCATAAAGGGACTGAGAAGATCTGACTCTTGTCTACTTACCAGCCTTGTCTCCCATCTTACCAGGCAACCACAAAAAATGTTCTTTGTTGCTGTCATTCAGAACTACTAGTGGTGGCCAGGCACGATGGCTCATGCCTGTAATCCCAGCACTTTGGGAGGCCAAGGAGGGCAGATCACTTGAGGTCCGGAGGTCGAGACCAGCCTGGCCAACATGGTGAAACCCAGTCTCTACTAAAAATACAAAATTTAGCCAGGTGTGGTGGCACAGGCCTGTATGTAATCCCAGACTCAAGAGGCTGAGGCAGGAGAATCACACTTGAACCTGGGAGGCAGAGGCTGCAGCTTGGGTGAGAGTGAGACCTCTATCTCAAAAAAAAAAAAAAAGAACTACTAGTGGCATCCCAAAGGAGCCCAGTCAAGTGTTTGTGCCCCTGTGCATGCAATTTCCTCGGCCTGAAACGTTCCCCCACCCTTTCCTTCTTTGAGCCTTTTTCTACTTCACCTTTTTAACTGAGCTCAAATGACACCTCTTTCAGAAGCTGACCTCAATGCTCCCAGAGTACTCCTGATTATCCTACATCATTGACCTGTCCTGGCTGTTATTCTTATCTGCCCCCATTCCCTAAAGTACTGGGAGGATGTTGAGGGGAAAATGGGAGAGTACAACTGATATGACTTGGCTTCTCCTGGTATCTGACACACAGATCAGGTATTCACTGAATGTTTCTGGACTAAGTGAATGAACACCCCAATTCACCGGAGAAGCCAGAACTTCAGACAACTCAAGTGGAAACCATGGCTCACCACATTCACTTTAGCTACCTGGACTTGCTGTCCAGTCTGGCTTCTCCAGAAAGCCAGGAGAACATCACGAAAGCTCAAGTACTATCCAGGAATTATGATCCAGGTTTTTGTGGGGTTGTTTTTTTCATGTCAGTTGGAAAACCTTTGGTTCTCTATAAATTCAGAGTTATTTCACATTGCTCACATGGAAGGCAAAGTAACAGCCACAGTTCTGGAGTATTTCCCAGAGATCAGATAGCATAATGGTTAAGAGCGTGAACTCTGACATCGGGGTTCAAATGCACCATTTGCCAACTGGCTAACTTTGGGTAAGTTACCCTACACTACTTCTCAACAGGACATAGAAACTGGAGAGTCTCCGGCCATTCACTCATTCATAACTACCAATTGAGCATCTACTGTGAGCCCAGTGCTAGCGATACAGTGGTAACCTTAACTTCCGATCTAAAATACACTTTCATGGAGTCAGACTTTTCCATTTCCTACACAGCACTTAGCACTATCTGCAATGATTTTGTGTGCTGGTTTTTCTGCCCTCGTCGGAAGGTAAGTTCTACTAGAGTAGAGGCCTTGTCTGTCTTGTTCATCCATCACCTACCTCCCCAGTGCCTTCCACATTACTGGATACACACAAAAAAGAAGGAATGAGCAAGTCAGACAAAAACATTTTGCCTCGTGGTCCTGGTGAAGGTAGGAAAAAAAACCAAAAACAACAACATAGAAAACATAAAGGCACAAATGACAAAAGTAACAGTGTCTGGGAGAAACCAAGGTCGCGGCTTCCCACTAACGCAGGTGTTGCTCCAGGCAGCTCTGGTAAGAAAAAGGATCCCAGCACCCCGGCAGCCTCCCTCAGCAGCACCCAGGAGACAGCATGAGGGAGGCAGTGAAAGTAAAGTGGGTTCGATCCCATCGGAAGTCCTGAGGAAGTTCATTTGTTGGCTCAACAGGTATTTACTAAGCATCTAATGTGTGCTAGGTAAACAGTGGCGAACTGACAAGAGCCTGTCCTCATGGAGTTTCCTTTCTAGTGTTGAAACAGTGATTCTGGGCATGAGAAGTGCCGTGCTGACCACGAAACTGGGTGATGGAATGGGGAACGACAGCAGGTGTGTACGGTGGACTGGCTGGTCACCGCAGGCCTCTCTGAGCAGGTGACATCTCAGCTAAGCCCTGAGGTCCACACTGTCACAGAGCACGGGAAGAACCTTCCAGGCAACGGCAGCGGCGGAGGCTCACACTACAGAAGACCACAAACTTGTCAGTAAGTTACAAGGCAATGTGACAAGTGCCTCGAAGGCAGGTCCCGGGAAGCTGAGGGTCGGGGAGGCGGCGCAAGCCCCGGCTCTGGCACCAGTCCTCTCGGCCGTCTCAGGTCGCGGCAGCTCCAGGCAGATCTGGGGCGCGCCGCGAGCGCCAAGGCCCGGCCGGGCCCCGCCGCCCCCCGCGACAGCGCCGTCAGGGTGGGGACGAGGGCCGACGTCACCCGCCGCGCCCGACTCAGTCCCTTCAGCACTGGGGCGGGGGCCGTGGGCCAGAAGGTGGCGGCCTCCGGGGCTTACCTCGGAATTTGAGCTCGTGCTGCGGCTCGAGGCTCAGGACCTGCTCCACCTTCGCCATGTTCCTCAGCGGCGGAGCACCTTTGGCGGGGAGACCTCTGAGAGGTCACCGGGGAGGGAAGCGTTAATGCTGCGCCCGCTTTTAGTTTTACAAAAAGGCGGGGGCCAGTCGGGGCACGGGAGGGGTCGCCGACAGGGTGCGCGCGCGGAGCGGGGGGGTCAGCCTACGCGGTGCAGGCGCAGGGGCGGAGGGCGAGGGCGAGGCCGCGGTGCCCGGCGAGCTGACGGCACGCACGCACGCCCGCACGCACGCACGCAGAGACGTACACACGCACGCACGCAGCGGGCTGGCCCGCTCGGGCGGCGGGAAGCTGCGCCCTGCGCTGCCGGCTCTAGGGGCGGGGTCGAAAGCTGCGCGCGTGGAGCCCCTCCCGGGACAGTGCGCAGGCGCGGCAGGAGCCACAGGGGCAGGACTGTGAAGAAGCAAGGGGCGGGGCTTCGCGCAGCTCAGGAGGCGGGGTCTGTAGTCCAGCTATGATGACAGCCACGGCGAAAACTATTAAGGGACCAATGGGGGCTAGTCTCGTGTTAAATGCTTTATTCAATAATAACAACTAGTAAGAATAAACTTCCACTTTTCTCTTGCTTATGTAGTGCCAGGCACTGTTAGAGACTTTGAATAATAGTGAAAATACTTAGTATAAACATGATGTTTATGAGTGAGTGATATGTGCCAGGTACTGTGACATCTTGTAAATAATAATTATTTAATAATTATATTAATAATTAACCACTTATTACCTTTTTATGTTGTGCCACTCCGCTGAATGCTTTCAATAACAACAGTAAGTACAATAAATACAAGCTACTCTACATTAAATGTTTACTATGCAACTGGCACTGTGCTGAATTATTTACTAATAAATTCGATTTGTTTATGCAACAAATATTTAGAAATACAATGATCAGAAAAGCTAACCTGATTCCAACCCTCTTACAATAGCCTAGTGAAGAGACATCTGTTGAATACGTAACCACACAAGTAAGTTAAATAATTAAAAATTGCTGGGAAATCCAGATCTGCCTGACATAAAAGTGGACGCTCTACATCAGGATTACCATTTAAATTGTATTTCATTATTATTATGTATGCTGTGGAAGTAAAATAGGTGTTCTTAATAGTCTCCTATACATACCTATAGAGGTGAAACAAACATGGCAAATTGCTAACAATGGCTGACTACTTCACAGGCGTATGGTTTTCTTGTACTGTTCCTCCCACTTTTCTGTATACTCGAAATGTGTCATGACAAAAAGATTTCTTAAAAGAATAATCTTTGTATTTTACATGGAGCATTTAGTCCATTTACATTTATTATATTTACTAATATATCTGGAATTATTTCTACCATCTTATTTTGTTATTTCTATTTGTCCTGCCTATTTTTTTTTCTTTCCTTTCTTGCTTCTCTAGGGCTTGTTTTTATTCTCGTCCTGATTTTCTTCACCTATATACTGTATTTCTAATGTTTTAGTGGTTACTTCAAAATTTTGGACATGCGTCCTTATCTTGTGAAACTCCAATATCTTTAAATATTTTTAAAAATGTCTTTACCCTGTTTCCTTAAAATATAAGAACTTTGGAGTACTTTAATCATGCATCCCCTAAATTATATGCCTTAATGTAGTGTATGTTGTTTAATCTTTTCCATTATAACCCAAGGAGACATTACTAAATTGCTTTATACAGTCAACATTAGTTTAGATTCAGCCGTACAGTTACCATTTTTCTTCATCTTTTTTCTTGCATCTCAGCTTTCACAAATAGGATCACTCTCCTTTTGCCTGAAGTAAATCCTTTAAATTTTACTTTTTGAAGTTTTGTTGGTGCAAACCCTCTCAGTTTCTGATCATCTGCAAGTGCATTCATTTTTGCCTTTGTTCTTTTTATTTTTTATCTTTGGGGTTTTTTTTTTTTTTTTTTTAGAGATGAGGCCTTGCTCTGTTGCCCAGGCTGGAGTGCAGTGGCATGATCACGTCTCACTGCAGCCTACATCACCCAGACTGAAGCAGTCCTTCCACCTCAGACTCCCGTGTAGCTGGGACTACAGGCGTGCACCACCACACCTGGCTAATTTTTTTATCTTCTGTAAAGGTCTCACTATGTTGCCCAGGCTGGTCTCCAACTCCTGGGCTCAAGTAATCCCCCTGCCTCAGCCTCCAAAGTGCTAGGATTACAGGCATGAGCCACTGCACCTGGCCTTGCCCGTGTTCTTGAAAGATGTTTTGGCTAGCTTGCTGGAATGAAAGCTGTCCTCTCTCAGCACAGTGACAATGCTACCCACTGTTTGCCTGCTCCCCCTCATTCCGCAGGAGTCCAGTGACAATCTTAAATCATTCCTTCATAGGTGTATTGATCTTTTCCCTCTCTTCTCATGTTCTGCAGTTTTACCATGCTGTATCTTTTTTTTTTTTTTTCTGAGATGGAGTCTTGTTCTGTCCCCCAGTCTGGAGTGCTGTGGCGCCATGTCAACTCACTGCAACCTCCGCCTCCCATGTTCAAGCGATTCTCCTACCTCGGCCTCCCAAGTAGCTGGGATTACAGGCACACACCACCATGCCCGGCTAATTTTTGTGTTTTTAATAGAGACAGGGTTTCGCCATGTTGGCCAGGCTCATCTCAAACTCCTGATCTCAGGTGATCCACCCGCCTCAGCCTCCCAAAGTGCTGGGATTACAGGCGTTAGTCACCACACCTGGCTCATGCTGTATCTATTTATTTATCCTGCCTTGAATTCTTTGGGCTTTCTGAATTTGATGATTTGTGTCTTTCATTATTCTTGAAAACTCTCAGACAATACCTTTTTTTCAATTTAATTTTACTTTTTTATTGTGGTAAGATACGCATAACGTAAAATTTACTATCTATCGTTTTTAAGTATATTGGTATTAAGAACATTCCTACTGTTGTTCAACCATCACCATCATTCATCTCTAGGACTCCTTTCATCCTGCAAAACTAGAACTCTGTGACCCTTAAACAGTAATTCCTCATGCTCCCTCTCCGAAGCCCCTGGCCACCACCATTCTGTGTTCTACCTCTATGAATTTGACTAGTCTAGGTACTTCGTGTAAATAGAATCATACAATATTTGTCCTTTTGTGACTGGCTTATTTCGCCTAGCATAAAGTCCCCAAGTTTCATCCATGTTGTATCATATGTGACAATATCTCTTTTAAATGTTGTCACAGATGGGTATAGTGGTTCATGCCTGTAGTCCCAGCTCTTTGGGAGGCCAAGGCGGGCAGAACGCTTGAATACAGGGGTTCAAGACTAGCTTGGGCAACATGGGTGGGAAAGATGGGGTGAAACCCATCTCTACAAAAAATGCAAAAAATACGTATATATATATATATCCACACATGGTGGTGCATGCCTGTAGTCCCAGTTACTCAGAAGGCTGAGGTGGGAGGATGACTTGAGCCCGGGAGGTCAAGGCTGCAGTCAGCTATGATTATACCACTGCACTCCATCCTGGGGTGACAGAGTAAGATCCTTTCCCAAAAAAAGGGAAAAAAAAAAAAGGATAAATGTTATTTTAACCTCATTCTCTCACCCTTTACATCTTGTAGTTTGATCAGTAGTTATTCAGCTAATATTTTTCAGGCTATAGGTTGTTTTCTAACAGTAACTTATAAAATCAATGTAGTAGATGCTTACCAGTGTAGAGAAAGAAAGAGAATAGAATATATTGGAGTGTATTGTGTTATGTCATGAAACTTTTGTTTTAGTTGTATTTATTAACACACACATATTGTAGAGTGAGTCACAAGTAAAATACACTTATTACTGTGGATTGTGAAAGAGAAAGAGAGAAGTCTCATACCCTTCTTCATGTCTCTTAACCTCTCTGTCATATCTTAATGTGTCATCTTTATGTTCCACGTTCTGGATATTTCTTTTATTTTTTTATTTTTTATTTTTTTTAAATGGGATTTCACCGTGTTGGTCAGGCTGGTCTTGAACTCCCAACCTCAGGTGATCTGCTTGCCTTGGCCTCCAAAGTGCTTGGATTACAGGCATAAGCCACCACGCCTGGCCCATTCTGGATATTTCTTCAGAAATTTCTACCAGTCACTAATTATCTCTTAGGCTGCTGATAAAGCTTTTTCAGGAGTTTATCACTTTGTTTATTAAGTCTATAAGTTCTATTGTGTTCTTTTACATATCCAAGTAGTTATACTTACAGGTTGTGTTTTTTCCTTTTTTTTCTTTGAGACAGGGCCTCCCTCTGTCACCCAGGCTGGAGTGCAGTGCTGTAATACTGGCTCACTGCAGCCTCTATCTCCTGGGCTCAAGCCATCCTCCCACCTCAGCCTCCCGAGTAGCTGAGACTACAGGCACGCCACCACACCCGGCTAATGTTTGCATGTTTTGTAGAGATGGGGTTTCACTATATTGCCCAGGCTGGTGTTGAGCTCCTGAGTTTATACAATCCGCTCGCCTCGGCCTCCCAAAGTACTGAGACTAAAGGCATAAGTCATTGCTCCTGGCCGCATTTATAGGTTTTTAACACTGGTTCCAAGCTCCTCTGCCCTCCCCAAGGGAATGGTGCCATGGGAGCTTTAGAGTTGGTTTCTTCTGCCAGCTCACTTTGGTAAGGGGAAGCCCATGTTCCTATCACTGTGGCCGCTGTGTAAATAAGCTCACTGAGCAAGCAATAGCACAGCTATAGGAAAGGCTTACTGTCATCTACAGAACGTGCCAGCTTGTCCACTCGATCAGTAGAGTGGCTGCTGCAGTAGATGCCCTTGGGTGGGCATTCACATGAGACACCATTGTCTTCACACCCATCCGAAGAGGTACTGTATCCACCACCTCCTCCCAGACCTCCTCACCAGACATCCACATCTGCTCTCTCCGTCCCTGATCATCCACTGCCCAGGGACCCGTGTACCTCTGTGCTCTTGGTCATTTCTCAGCCACACAAAGTATACAGCTGAACACACTGCTTGGGGTTCTGCTAAATGCATGAATTCTTTTATGTTATAATCCTGCAGCCCACCCAATTAAAGCTGGAGTATAATTTTCAGCAAGGTCAAAAATCTACAACTAGGCTGAGCACACGGTGGCTCACGCCTGTAATCCCAGCACTGTGGGAGGCTGAGGCAGGTGTATCACTTAAGGTTGGGAGTTCAAGACCAGCCTGACCAATCTGGAGAAAACCTGTCTCTACTCAAAACACAAAATTAGCTGGGCATAGTGGCACATGCCTTTAATCCCAGCTACTTGGGAGGCAGAGGTTGCAGAGAGCCAAGATTGTGCCAATGCACGCTAGCCTGGGCAGCAAGAGCGAAACTTGGTCTCAAAAAAAAAAAAAAAGAAAACTACAACTACAAGAAATAAAGGATTATTTTAGGGCTCTGTAGACCATCTCTGGTTCTCTGTGAGTTAAGCTGAGAGTTTAGAGATCAGAGCGTGTCCTTTCCTTTCCATAATAGCTCCAGTGAACTCAGAAACAGCTATCTCAACCCATGGTCTGGAAGTCATCACTACCCTGTAAGTGTGGCAGTCCCGTGGCTCCTCATACACTTACTTCAGTGGGAACGTTATCACAATCATATGGTATTAGTAGTGATGTCAGTACGAGCCATTGATTACTTGTAATCACTGGTGTATGGTAAACTGGCTCTCTCAGGAGGAAATAATATCTATCGTTTTTGAAGATTCCTTTTATTTCCTTTTCTTTCTTTTTTTTTTTGCTTGTTTGTTTGTTTGGTTGGTTGGTTTTATTTTTTTTGCGACAGGGTCACACTCTGTCGCCCAGGACAGAGTGCAGTGATACAATCATAGCGCACTATAACCTTGAACTCTCAGCTTCCCAACATGCTGGGATTACAGCTGTGAGCCACCATGCCTACCCAGGCTTTGCAGACTTCTGTGGTATAAACACTCCACCATGACTGATTTTAGGCTGCCAAGGGTTTGTCACTGAACGCAGAGTTGAAAAGAGGCAAGTATGACTGGCTCTCACTAGCTGGTATTCAGCATCCCTACACTTGTATTCCGTATTTCATTGGCACTGCATTTAAGCATGAGGATGTGGCCAATCCAATCCCCAAATCCCTTCTTCAAGGGTCTGTTTCCTGGGACCACTCTTGGTACCAAGTGCTGTGTCCGTCAAGGTCCAGCAAGGAAAGCAGAAATTACACCAGTGGTTCTCACCAAGATAATTTAGTATAAGGAAATGGTTAAATAGGTAATGGAGAACCATCAAAGCCAAAAGAGAAAGACACTGAGGGATCGCAGGGTAGTTACTGCAGGAAACAACTATATTCCTCGGGTTGAGGGGACATAGGGAAGATGCTGAGGTTACGGGACCCCAGGAACTTAGAGGGAGGGCTTCATGGAGGTGGCCACAGACTCCTGAGGAGGGAGCACTGGCTGGCCAGGGCTGGGGCCTTCAAGGGGACACACTGAGGCTGCTTCTGGGACTGTCAAAACAAAGTGGAGAGTGGAACAACTACTGCCTTCAGGTGAAAGGTCACTGCTGAAGCCACCCTGTCAGGAACAAGAGCAGGACAGGAAAGACTGGCCCCTTCTCCTCTCATCTGATTCCAAGTTTTCCTTGAGTGCCGCTCCCAGTGGAGCCTGAGAGAAAATCCACTGACTGAGGAGAAATGACGTGTCCAGAGACTCGGCCCCCGTAGGTCAGAGCAGGCTGTAGAGGGTTAATTTGGAGCTGAGAGACAGCAGCTTCATAGCTACCAGTCCCTCTTTCATTTCTTTAAACGTAGTAAACACACTGATTTTTTTTTTAAGATTCAAGTCAAAATGGTTTTATTGTCATTCACATGTTTAATAGAAAAAGAAATGCAGCAAATGGCTCAGGGCTGTATTAAAAAAACCTCAGGTGTTTGCAGGTTGGCTTGCTTACATCTGGGAGCAGAACTGTCCCCACATCAGGCACAGCAGCTGCCCTTCTCCAACGCCCCTTTGCAGAGGCAGCCCTGGGCACGGTTGGCACAGCCCACGGGGCGGCAGGAACAGCAGCTCTTCTTGCATGAGGTCCTTTGCACGCTGCTGTTGCAGGAGCTGGCGCATGAGCAGGAGTCACCAGTGGCGCAGGAGCAGTTGGGGTCCATTTCGAGCCACGGTGAGGCTGGAGATGTGAGACCATGGGGCATGTGGAAGGCATGCTGACACAGTGATTTTTATAGTCTGTTCGGTGCCTGACGTGTGTGCAGTTCTGATGGTATTGTTTCCACTGGCGTTGGCTCAGCGTGGCCTGTTTGCTTATTTGTTTTATAAACTTTGGCCTTATCTGTGAGAATTCTTGGAGGCCGAGCATTTCAGTCACCTCCAAAACTTAGTGGCCCAAACATCAACAACGATTTAATGATTCCCACTCACACTTGGGGGACTTGACTGGGCTCTGCTGGTGTTGCTCACTCAGAGCCTCTCATGTGGCTGTAGTAAAACAGGAGCTGGGCCTGTGCAGGAAGTTTAGGGCCAGCTACAAAGTTAAAGGGCATAGTTCCTAAGTCACTGTCCCTCTGAAACCGACTGCAAGTTTGTTGGTGTCTTCAAACCACCCTCCAGTTTGATAATTCACTGGAAGGACCCTCAGAACTCACTGAAAGCTGGTGTACTCACAGTTACGGTTTATTACAGGGAAAGTGTACCGATCAAATCAGCCAAGGGAAGAAGAACACAGGGCAGAGGCCTCCAACTGTGGAGCTTCTGTCATCCGCCCCCACGGAGTCAGGATGTGATATGGTTTGGCTCTGTGTTTCCACCCAAATCTCACCTTGAATTGTAATAATCCCGACGCGTCGTGGGAGGGAGCCGGTGGGAGGTAATTGAATCCTGGGAGTGGGTTTTTCCCGTGCTGGCCTCATGATAGTGAGTAAGTCTCACGAGATCTGATGGTTTTACAAAGGGAAGTTCCCCTGCACAGGCTCTCTTGCCTGCTGCCATGTAAGACATGCCTTTGTTCTTCCCTCATCTTCTGCCATGACTGTGAGACCTCCCTAGCTATCTGGGACTGTGAGGCATCCCCAGCCATGTAGAACTGTGAGTCCATTAAACCTCTTTCATTTATAAATTACCCAGTCCCAGGTATGTCTTTATTAACAGCGTGAAAACAAACTAATACAGTATGTGTGACTCTTAGTGTCAGTGTGTAACGAAGTGCATGGAGTATTACTATGGAGGCTTGCCTGAGCTTCAGTAACCACAGTTTTTACTAAAGCGCTATTATGTAGGTATGATTGATTGATTACTCACATGACTGATTTCAGTCTCCAGGTCAACTGATATCCCATGATCCCGAGCCCGCACCCTAAGCCACGCTGTTACTCTTTGGTAGCCCCTTGCTGTCTGGCCAGCCCCCACCCCAAATCACATTGTTATGGTTATCTGGCATGACACTGGCTATCAAATGAACACTCCTATCACTCAGAATATTCTGAGGACCCAGAGATTACTTCCAAAACACCGGGACAAAGGCCAGATCTGTCTGGGTAAGGCCAAATTCTTCATTATCCAGGCGGGAATCACCGAAAGGCTTGCATGCTCACAGGTCTGGTGCCTGGCTGGAACACCTGGGACTCTGTGGTCATTTCTCTATGACTTACATGTTTTATCCCTGTGCTGTCTCTCCAGATCAAGGCTGCAGGTAGCAGGACTTTTTACACAGCAGCTCAGGGCTTGCAAGCTAGTGTCAGAGAGAGGGAGGGAGAGAGAGAAAGAGAAAGAGTCCCAGATGGAGGCTGTATCACCTTTTCTAACCTAGCCTCAGAAGTCATGTGGGGTTACTTGCTCACTGCATTTTATCCTTTGAGGCAGTCAAGAGGCCTGTCCAGGTTGAAAGGGTGGGGATGGAAACTCTGCCTCCTGGTGGGGTATGCCAAATTTCTAGGAGAACACATCGTGTAGGAAATATCATTGCAACCACCTGCAGAATATACAGTCAGCCACACCTGGGCTGAAGGTGGCTCCTCCACAAAGAATTTGCCTTTGCCTTGTCTTATTCCAGGCAGAAGTGGGGGGTGGGCACTGACCAGGGTGGCTTTCAGGTCTCAGTTTAAGATTTTTAGACTGGCTGGGTGCGGTGGCTCACACCTGTAATCCTAGCACTTTGGAAGGCTGAGACAGGCGGATCACAAGGTCAGGAGTTTGAGACTAGCCTGACCAACATGTTGAAACCCCGTCTCTACTAAAAATGCAAAAAATTAGCCAGGCATGGTTGCACACGCCTGTGATCCCAGCTACTCTGGTGGCTGAGGCAGGAGAATTGCTTGAATCCAGGAGACGGAGGTTGCAGTGAGCTGAGACCTTGCACTACACTGCAGCCTGGGTGACAAACCGAGATTTTGTCTCAAAAAAAAAAAAAAGATTTTAGACCACCCAGGTAGTATGAATTTGGGCTATAAACCTTTAGGAAGGTGACCCTGTGCTCATGATTCTTAGAAGAATTGGCCTTTTCTCCTCGCTGAGTGCCTCCACCTGACATTTTTCCTTTAGGGCTGGGGCAGTGTTTTGGGCTCATTGTACACTGAAGGATCCTGCTAGACTTCCCAACTTGGGTGGGCTCTGAGCTTTGTCTTTTGTCCTATAAAACCCAAAGTACTGAGAAAATGAAAGCACTTGTTCACAGGATTCCACAGGCTTCCACAGTTCGCCAGTACAAAAACCAGCTTCAGGACTCAGCTTATCCCCAAGGGCTTAATCTTCCCTTCACTGATTGATTGGCTTCAGAACACTCTTTGTGCTGGCTCATCAATGCATTTAAAATGTTTTATCCAGCATGTGAGTTGTTTGGATGGAAAGGGTCACTCAGCATGTCTAATCCTCCATGTTGCCGGAAACAGAAGTCGCCAGAGTTTTTATGTTAAAAATACTTCATTGCATCCAGGCCTCAGATGTTAGTTTCTCATACCATTTCCCCAGAAATGGAAACCAGGACTTTTTGGAAATATGGATGATTCTTGTCCTGGAGTGGGGAATATTTGAGGTGTACTTGGAATATCTTGAATGGGTAGAAAGTAAGGAAGTGCTGAAAAAAATAAAACTATGGTAACATGTCACCAACTGGAGACACCAACAGGAAGAGCTCCCGATTGCCAAAGCCGTGACAATTTGAACAAAAATAAACAACATAGTATTGGATTGTAACTCAAAGTAGAAAATAGTCTGGGTACAGTGGCTCACACCTGTAATCCCAACACTTTGAGAGGTCAAGGCAGGAGGATCGCTTGAGCTCAGAAGTTCAAAACCAGCCTGGGTAATATAACAAGACTTTGTCTCGGCTGGGCGCAGTGGCTCACACCTGTAATCCCAGCACTGTGAGAGGCCGAGACAGGCAGATCACCTGAGATCAGAAGTTTGAGACCAGCCTGGCCAACATGGCAAAAAATTAGCCAGGCATGGTGGCACACACCTCCAGGTTGTATTCTCAACCTGGACAGGCCTTTTTGTATTCTACAGAAAATTAGCCAGACATGGTGGTGCACGCCGGTAATCCCAGCTTCTTGGGAGATGGAGGTAGGAGAATCGCTTGAACCCGGGAGGCGGAGGTTGCAGTGAGCTGAGATCATGCCACTGTACTCCAGCCTGGGAGACAGAGTGAAACTCCATAACAAAAAAAAAAAAAGAAAAAATGGCTACTGACCCCAAGAAAATAATAATAAAAAAAAAAAGGAGAGAGACTTTGTCTCTACAAAAATAAATAAATCAAAGTAGAAAATAAATATCCTTGAGTCTATAATGACATAAATAAATGACTGAATAATAAACTGAGTAGAAGAGTTGTAAATAATTGATGTTAGATATATCCTCCCTCTAGGACATGGAACATAACTTCCACCCCTTAACTGAGGGCTATACTTAGTGGCTTTCTTCCAAAGAGTACAGGATGAAAGTGCAGGGAAAAGTAACTTTAATAGTGAAGACCCAATAGTGGGAAGCCATTGGTGAGCCATGTGATCAATGTCAGCATCATCATTGATAAGTTCTGCTGATAGTAGGTTTTCTTGATATAATGTGATGAGACATGTGTTTCACCTTTGCAGTCTTCACCCCCAAAGCCCACCACCCCAGTCTAATCATAAGAAAAACATCAGAAAATCTTAAACTGAAGAACATTCTAGAAAACACCTGGCTAGTACCTCTAGAGGGCAAGGTCATTAAAAACAAGGAAAGTGTCAGAAGTTGTCACAGCTCAGAGGAGCCCAAGGTGACATGACAAGTAAATGTAAGTTGGTCTCCAGAAACAAAGAAAGGCCATTAGAGGAAAAGCAAGGAAATCTGCATGAAATATGGAGTTAACAATAACATATTCATCATATTAACAATGGTTCATTAGTCGTGACAAATGTATCACACTAACGTATGTTAAGAATAGGGGAAATTGGGTGTTGTGTATATGGAAACACTTTTTATTATCTTTGTAGCTTTTATGTAACTCCAAAAGTATTCTAAGTAAAGAAAAAAAAACCCGCTATTCTAAAATTAAAACTTGTTTAAAATTTTAAAAATTGAATTTCCAACCTCCTATGTTGGTGTTCTCTGTAGGGCAAGCTGTGATTGCTGCTGTCTGGCACTCAGACCCTTTGCTCAACCAGAACACACAATGCTGAACTGTGTTGAGGAAATGAGTGACTTCGTTGTCATCCTCTTCATCCCATTTCCTCCTTTGGAAACACTGCCACCTCTGGCTGTCCAAGTCCCGGATCCTTCATGGCCTCACTCACTTACTCATCACTCTCTTTTTCTCTTCAATGCATTCATTCCTTCAGGTTTTTAATAAAATTTGCAATCAGATTTTAATGGAATTTATCTATTTATCTTTTTTTTTTTTTTTTTTTTTG